TGGCTGGCACAGCGGTAACAGTCTCTTTAGGCGGAGCCTGGTTGAAACGGGGAGTATAAATATGACCACTGCATGTTATCTTGCTTGCCCCAACTATATTGGTCACATCTTCATTAACAGTCTTCAATTCTTCCCTTGGAATAACTTTCCCAGATTCTTTGTCAATCATGGTCACATCGTATTTCTAGGGTACAGCTTTAGGATCACTGAAATGAAAAGGACTAGGCTTCTGAATAATTATCGACTTTGGCTGATTAACTGTAGGAGTAACTGGCTTAGATATGTTGAACACGGGCTTTGCAGAACTTGATCTTGGAAAGTTGAAGACAGGCACTTTAGCACTTGGTTTCGGTAAGTTGAAGGCGGGTTCAATCACAACAACTTCATCCTTCTTCACTTTATTAACCACTTGTAAGAAACCATCGCTGCTCAATTTTTGAATAGCATTCTGCACCGACAAACAACCCTTGGAACTGATATCACAATCTGTACAGTCGACATGAGAAGTAGATACTAAATCAACTTCAAATAGCTTCAAATGGAAAACCCGGAGAGGAGTCTTGATCTGAGCAACATCAAGGATAAGGCTTTCATCAGATATATCATCAATGACATTAACAACCCCATGATTAGGAAAAGGTTGTTCTTGACATTTGGCTGAGGATCATCAAAGGACAGGATCTTCTTTTCCATTAACTCTCTGACAAGGTTCTTGAGAGCATAGCAGCTTTCTAGATCATGGCCAGGCACACCCTCATGAAATAAACAATGAGCGGCAGGGTTGTAATTAGCTGGCAGTGGATTTGGAGGCGGACTCAAAGCTCTAGTAGTTATCAAATCTTGTTTCACTAATGAAGGGTACAACTCAGTATAAGTCATCGGAATCAGAGGAATCGACTTGTACTGTCTCCTGTTAGGAACATTCTAGCGAGGTGCCTGATTCTTCGATTGTTAATGAGCAGGAGCGTTGGACGCTCGTTGATAATTGGATGAAACCTGTGCAGGCTGATAACTAGGAGATTGTTGATATACCAGAGTTTGATAGACAGGAGCTGGTTGCACAAGCTGATAAGCAGGAACTTGTTGATTGAAGGCAGGTGTAACAGCAGCTACATGCGGTTGTTGAGCAAACTGTACAGGATAACCTTGTTGTTGAACATAGTTCTGTTGATGTTTCCAGGGTTGATTTCTTTGTCTACTTGCAGTTACAGCATTAGTTTCACCCTCTTTCTTCTTCTGAGAAATAAATGAAGACTTCTTTGCATGACCTTTAGAGCTTGAACTACCAACAGTACCTGACATTTTACCACTCTTCAGACCCAATTCAACTTTTACACCAAAAACAACGATGTCAGAGAAATTTGCAGTCACACTACCAACCATTCCTTCATAAAATTTTGGACGAACGATGTCGACAAACCAATCGGCTAGCTTTTTCTCAGTCAACGGAGGTTCTACTTGTGAAGCAATCTCTCTCCACCTCTGAACATACTCTTTGAATGATTTAGAACTCTTCTGGGACATATACTGAACAGTTGTCTACGGTCAGGAGCCAGATCCATGTTATATTTATAGTGTTTGATGAAGGCATCAGATAGATCTTGAAAACATTTGATACGAGACTGATCCAGAGTTAGATACCATTTTGAGGAAGCACCCTTCAGACTGTCTTGGAAACTTTTTGGAAATATTTATTAAATTCAATTTCATTTTAAAATATTTAAACACATTAAAAATAAATAAGTAATAGATACCAAATTTTGAATAATGATAAAATAGATTGAAAGAATAATTATTAAATAGTTTGAAGAAATAATTACGGAAACGTTTTATACTATAAATATATGAGAAAAAAAAACTATTTTAGATTGTTAATCAATTAGAGACGTATATTCTATTAAACTACACGTTTAAATTTAAAATATTAATTTAACATAATAGAATATTATAAATTTATTAAATAATGGTGTAAAACTAATTTCTGCACTATTTTTAACATCTAAATATAGTCGAATGAAAATATTGTCCAATGAAAATGCATGGTCTAGTGAATATGTGTTGGTCTCTGATTGTATGGGTTCCAAGCTCAACATCCATTAGGATTAATTTTTGTAATTTTTTATCCTTTTAATTATATCAATAGCCAAAAGAAAATAATAATGATGTGATATTTGTGGCGAACTTTTAAACAATTGGTTAAAACATTATAAGAATTTTTTAACTGTGATAGGGGAAAATCCTTTTTAACCGATTTACTTTTATAGAAAAATTAGTTAAAACATTATAAGAATTTTTTTAAAATAATCTATATTTTTAATTAAAATACTAAATAAATTATATTTTTAAATTATTTATATTTTGAATAAGACAACCAGGATACATCAATTCATTTGACAAATATATTTATTTTTAAGCTCATGCGTCAAATAAAATAATTTGTGCAATTATTTTTCACTCTCTCTTTAAACTCATTCGCTATTTTATATGGAGTATATATTATGTATGTAGTGTATGCACCATATACAATAACACTAAAGAGGATACGCATTTTCATATGACAATATTTTATATGAAATTAGAGACGGATCCAAACAATTTAGCAAGTGGGGGCAAAATTGTAAAAGTCCTTTAATATGAATTTGGTTTATTGATAAAATCTTTATTTTCTGGTAAATTTTGAAAAAAATATTATATTTATTTTTCATTTTTATTATAAAATTCATCAATTATTTTAAAATAGTAAGTTTTCACCTTCAAACCATTTTTTAAAAGATTCCTATTAAATACATATAAATTTAATAATATTATAAATATTATTTATAAAAATAAGACAAAAAATATATATATATATGATTAAACAATAACATTACTTAGTGTTCCAAACAAAATTTATATTTAATGAATTTAAAGCTGTTAAAAAAGGTGTTTATTAAACATATGCAAAAGTTTCATTATCAATCAAATTCTATATACTAAATTAATCCATTAATTTAGTAGTGACAATATCTTAATTATTTAATTATTACTAAAGAAAAATACAATTATATTTAATAATTACTATCACATTAGTTGGGTATTTGCCCTTATTTTACTCTACCTTCATCAATCCCAGTATAAAATGACGCATGTGAAAAGAGAGTGAAAAATAAATGTATAAACCATTTTATTTGGCACATGAATTTAAAAATAAATGTATTTGTCAAATGAATTGATATATTCTTTTTGTCTTATTTAAAAACATAGTTAATTTAGTAAATAATTTAAAATTATAGTTTATTTAGTATTTAATTAAAAATATAGGTTATTTTAAAAAAAAATATTCACATTGTAAGATTTATAGGATGGAAAATGAAATTAAATAAATTAGTAGTGACGGTGATTGATAGAGAAAAAGATAAATATATTGAAAGAGTTACGTACACACAAGTGGAGAATAAAATGAAGAGTAGAAAACAAAAGAAAGTGACAAAAATTCATAGAAGAGAATCTTAGAACAATATTTTTATTAAAATCTACGTACCTATATAGAATCCAGTGGTTTTTTAATGTTAACTTTTAAAATTCTGATAAATAATTTCATTAAATCATTTCAAATATAGACTTATTTTAGTCGCGTATTATATGATATTACACTTTTATTTTTAAAATATAATTATCATATATTATTTTAAAATAATTTAATAAAATATCGGTCTAATATTTTTTTTACACGTACAATATACTATCTTTAAACTCTTTTGTATATAGTAAGAACATTGAATATAAAATTGCAGATTCAATAATTTAATTTAAATCATACCATAATTTTATTTAATGTATAATTTTTTCTCCATATTTAGATATTTAATGAGATATAATGTTTTTTAAGATAAATATTTTAAAATTTAATTAAAATATATTGAAAGTATAAAAATATTTAAAATTTAATAAAATATATTGATAACTTATTTACATTATTAATTAATTACAATCACTGATTTGTCAAAAAAAAATTAATTTTTAATATAGTAATCATATGTAAAATAATAAAAACAGGTGATCGTGATGGATTATAAAATATCTTAAACTTACAACAATTAAACTCAATATTTTAATAATATAAGTAAATTTACTGATAAAAGAATTTATGAGTAGAATAAATTTCTAGATCCCTATTTCATACAATTGAATGATTAGATCAGTGCATGATTCCTTTACAATAATTTCAATTTCAAGTACGAAAATGGTAACTTATTCAGTGGAATAGCTTATTCTTGGTTTCTCTCTTCTCGAACTGTTTCGCGCCAAACAGGTTTTTCATTATTCACGAATTAGTTCCGTTCAAATTGAAATTGAAATTACTCCAATGATTCTGATTCTGATTTCATTTTTGTTTTCGTCTTCCCTTTGTTAATTGCATTTACTTACTGATTTTGTTGTATTTGGTGAAGATTATCAAATTCACCCAATGCATCAATTTTCAATTTCAATCGATAATACTGTTTATATTTGTGTTTTTCTCTGTGTCTCTCTTTACCCCAATTTCATGAATATAATTGTAATAATTATAAGTGGGGCAATGTAATTCTCACTCTACGAGCCGGTTTTGTATGGTTGAGTTAGGTTAAATCACATTCATTAAGATGGTATAAGAGACAGGTTTAAGATCTGTTAGGCCACGAGCCATCAGTTTCTGCAATCGGGTCACCCACATCGGGCAATATATGACCGGAATTCTAATTATTTTACTTTGGTTTTGTGTTTTTGTTTGCACTTTTATAAGATATCTCAAAGTCAATATCTCTGGATTTGTTTGATTCTTTAGTCAATATCTCTGGATTTGTTTGATTCTTTGATTCGGTACTTATTTTGCTGTTGATATATGGATTTTGAGTCATGATACAATATAGTTTTTGACAGAGTATCAAGAAGCTGATTTGAAAATTAGAAAAAGAGAAGCTTGTTTTTTTGAAGGAAGAGAGAGTGAGAGAGAGAGAGAGAGAGAAACTTGAAAGCTGAAAATGACAATTGGAACTCTTGCACCTGAGGCAGAGAATAAGAATATAAGGAAGAAGAGAGAAGTTTCGAATGAGAATGCGCCTTTGTTACCTAAGTCTCAAGAAACAGATGGCGAGTTTAATGAATTTAACGGAGCTTCATTTTCTGGGGCTGTTTTCAATTTGTCCACCACAGTTATTGGTGCTGGAATCATGGGCTTGCCTGCTTGCGTCAAAAAGTTGGGGATGGTGCCCGGTCTTCTTGCCATAATCTTAACAGCATTATTGACAGGGAAGTCAATTGAGTTCATGATCAGGTTTTCAAGGGCAGGAAACCTTTCTTCCTATGGAAATCTGATGGGGGATGCCTTTGGGAAATACGGAAAAGCACTGATAGAAACATGTGTTGTAGTCGCGAACGTTGGTATTCTAATAGTTTACATGATTATTATTGGTGAGAACATGTTCTTAAATCTTTTACTTAAGAATTTATATGGATGGACTTTTACTGTTATCATCAGTTTTGGTTTTAGTTGATTATTACCCCCCATCAATCTGGTTAGACAAGAACGTAAGGTTGTATTCAATTTTGTTTTGTTCATATTCGTAGGTGATGTGATTTCTGGAACTGCTTCAAGTGAAATTCACCATTCTGGTATCCTTGAAGGATGGTTTGGTGTCCATTGGTGGACTGGGCGTAAATTTGTTCTTGTTTTCACAACACTTGCTGTATTTGCACCTTTGGTCAGCCTTAAGCGAATTGGTGAGTGAGTGTATGTTTCCTGCATTAATAGATGTAAAAAATATAAACATATAATTGTGTCACTTGTTAAAAAAATTATCACTGAAATGATCATAGATTCGACAATAATGTTTGGAAGATGACTCAATAACCGGTGGTAATGGTACTAATGAAAGTTTTCACTACATGGTTTATAAATTGAACAAAATGGTAACGAAACCAATAAACAACTAGTTGGTTCCATCCATTCCAAACTAGGTGAAGAAAAATAGAGATATCCAATGGAAGTGATTTCATTCTGTTCCGTCCTATTTTAATCACCAAACAATTACATCCATAGTGTAAGGCTCGAGATTTGTTGGGAATCTCTATCCCCCTATGAGTTACATGTTAGATGCTCTAGTTCTTCTATTACTCCCTTTAGTTATGATTTCAAAACAATATTTTATGGCAAAACTTAAAGAAATGAAAATTTAAAATATATATATACTCAGTGTTCAACACTCTATTACTTCGAAATTTATACATGTTGCATTTCGATACCAAAAAATTAAATCCTTTATGCAATGTTGTGTTCAAGTTATGTGATGGGAGTTACCTCACCCGGATATATTTAAGCCCATCCTTTAAAATCTATGTTGCATGAGTACTCCAAACTATCGGAGTAATTGTTGTACATATACTGGCCATATATTTGGAAATTATGTTTATCGAGGTACACATGGTTATTTTCCCAATACCCACTTATCACTAAAGTACAAATTGGTCTATCTATAAAATCAAGTTTTGTTGCTAAGTTGTTTGGTTTGTTACCAAATAAAACAAACTGCCACTTCACCTCATTTCATATTTTTGCTTAAGTGAGATAGAAAATTGTACTCATATTATGATTTTAATGCACACTGTTTAAGTTTCTATACCTTGGTTTTAGATGTTTTGTGGTACACTAGTATACTCCCCATATCAATACCGGTATTCATTCTCTGTGGTTGTTGCAGATTCATTGAGATTCTCATCTGCATTGTCAATTGGATTAGCAGTTGTTTTCCTTATTATTGCTGTGGGGATCTCAGTTTTCAAGATTATAAGTGGAGGCATTGGGATGCCAAGACTCTTCCCAATCATTACTGATGTAGCTTCAGTTTTTGATCTATTCACTGTAACCCCTGTGGTGATGTCAGCCTACATCTGTCACTACAATGGTACGGAAATGTTTGAAACCTTTTCATAGGACCTGGTTCCCTTGTTTTAATGTTTTTACTCATAATAGACTTGTGTAATGTGTAATTCTAACCTGTTTATGGATTTGTATGAAGAAGGGTTGAGGTCTTCTGACTACTTTTTTCATAAGCATCACCTCATTCCATTTACAACTAATCTGAAAAGAAACCACACGTGTCAATTGTGTATGAGTAAAAAAAAGTCGAATTTCATACTCCCTCTGGTCCTATTTATAAGAGCAAATTTACTTTTTAGATTCATTGAATAATCAATGTATCCCGTCTATTATAGAAATGCTAAATTTTGTTAATCCAATTCCAAACATTGTCAACTATTGCAAAAGTTTCCGTTATGTGGGAAGATGACATGATTGTATCCAATTCCAATTTTGATACTAATCTTGGAATTCCTTTTGGTTCTGTGCTCAATGACATTGTTCGTTTTAGCTATGCTGCGCATCTTGTGCTTGTATTTCCTGTAGTTTTCTATGGATTAAGGGTCAACATAGATGGTCTGATATTTACCTCATCAAGAAGGCCGTTGGTTGCCGATAACTTCAGATTTGCATCAATTACTATCGGTCTTGTTGTCTCTATCTTCCTAGGAGCAAATTTCATACCTAGCATTTGGGATATTTTCCAGTTCACTGGAGCAACAGCTGCTGCTTGTGTAGGATTCATATGTCCAGCTGCAATCACTCTTAGGTGAGTATTATTCACTTACTAAACAAACAGACTTATTGAATGAGTCTGAGAATAATATTTGTGGTACATTTCCAAGAAATATACTCATAGCTCGAAACAAATGCATACTAAAAGTTTTACTAAACAGCGCCGGGTAATGGTATAAGAATTCTAAAATACTTTTCATTCGCTTGAAGAAGTTTTCAGAAGGTTTTTTACTCATGCTTTTGCTGATGATTAATTATTGCAACAATTATCATTAAGCATTTCATTTCTTACAGGGATAAATACAACATAGCAACTAAAACAGACAGGATTCTGGCTGTCCTTATGATAATCCTTGCAGTCTTGTCAAATGCTGTGGCTATATACAGTGATGTCATTGCCTTGACCAAGAAGAATAAAACTTAAGGTGAATAATTTCTTCATTTGATAGTTCACAGTACAGGTACTTACCGTAGTTATATAACATCGGTTTCTTGGAGAAGGTCTAATGGGTTGGTTATTATAGAAAGAAACTACCATGTATATGGACATGGAATAATACACACCCAACACAACTGTCCACATGATTGAAAGAGATGAAGAAATAAATAAAAGCTTAGCCCCGTATATTTACGGTGTCTGACAACATATTTGCTGTCAAAATGTCATTTCTGTTGTAGTTTGCTCTTCACTGTTGTAATTTGAGGAGGCACGTAATATCCCAAACATCATCTCCTTCATAAATGTAAGAAAGGATTTTTTTTTTGTATGCGCTGTTAATGGCTAAAGGACTGAAGGGATGCCCCCTTGCTTATGAAGGAATGGTGGTCTATTTATAGTATGTTTTCTAAAATTCCTTAGAAGTTTGAACTTTATGTGCACTTCATAGTATTGCATAATTCTTTATGTAATTTTTTCGCAGGTTTAGTGTTTCATTGAATGTATAAGCAACTTGCAAATCTATTCATATAAATTATTTCATCGAACATGTGTAACTATTGTTTTGACGTGCTATAACAAATTTGGTTTGATTTTGAGATTGGTCAAAAATTTTAAATGTGGTTTGTGTATTTTGACATCAAATGCAAACCCTTGTCTTTCCACCAATGTTTCTTCATGTAGTTTCTTGGTTAAATCAAAGAACAACTAATACCCTAGCAAAATGGTCAAAGTCTTATTTGTGTATTTTTTCTGCAGGTACCATTGTTTTCCATTTTATATTCCACTTTACCACCCTTTTCATAATATTATCCAGACTATTATGTGTTTGGATTGGAATTTTAGAACTATTATGTGTTTGGTTTGATATTTCAAACCATTTTATTAAAATATTTCTGCAAAGTGGAATACAAAATTCAAACTATTATTAAACTATTATGTGTTTGGAATGGCCGTGACATAATTGAATATTATAGAATTGAGTTTGATAGAATTCATTTTATCAGAATTAAATTTAGCAAAATTGATTTATGTTTAGAATACATTTATGTAAAAGCGATTTGAACAACAAATTTCAGTATAAAAATCAGATTTAAACTCAGAAGCTATAAATTATAGTTTCAAATAGAATCAATTTCTCTACTGCCAATCACTTTAAAATCAATTATATACCTTTAAAATTATTTTATCTCTTCCAAAATTCAAACCAAACATACTATTTATCATTGAAGATCTCACATTTATCGTAAAAAAATAAATCTGCCAATTGCGTTGGTAGCAGACCCACACACCCCTTTATTTATTTCTTTAAATTTTTATTTATAAAAATATAATTAGTTATTTGTTAACATTATTTTATAAACTATTAATATTTTAATTTTAATTTTTGATAAATTATTTAAAAATATATCATAAATTAGTTTATTTTTAATATTTATTTAACTTTTTGTGCAATATATAGTATTTATTTATTTAATAAAATATTTTAAATACAATTACATAAATAATTTAATATTTACTAGACAATTCAAACAATACAAAAAGAAAATGAGTGACCTGCCTAGGGTGCCAGTAGCCGAGTTCACTCTGGAATTTTAAGATTGTTTGAAACAATGGTAGTTTAGAAAAAATGGAGGAAAGTGTGATAAAGTGGATAATTGAGAGAGAAAGAGTAGCATGATTGGAAACGTTCCTAATTTGTAGTTTCTTCATCCTTATGCGATTTATAAAATAATTCTAGGCTGCTCATATTCTTGTGGAAAAGCACATACCTAGATCGAATGTTGAGCATGTGATTATGTGATTGCATTTGATTATTAGGGCAATTAGGTATTGAACAAAAACAAAGAAGGGAAGAGCTATCTTTAAGAAATTCGAAAATACCTTTGAAATAATAAAATTTTAAATTTCGGTGAGTTACTATTATTCTTAAAAAAAATAGTACGGAGTTAATTTTCATATTAATGAGAAGGTGAATTCGAAAGTTAAGTTTCAGATTAATTCTTAAACACATTTTAAATTTATGATTGTATATTTATTTCACAACTATCAATGAATAATATGGAAGTTAAGTTTTGTATTAATCCTCAAGACATTAAACTTCTCTTTTGGGTAGTTATTTTTGTTATAAAATTGATATATTTTTAATAAACTTTATATAATTCAATCAAACCACACAATGATCACAAAATACAATTATTGTATATTAATATACTCATGGTAGTGTGTTAATTTCACAACTATCAATGAATAATATGAAAGTTAAGTTTTGTATTAATCCAAGACATTAAACTTCCCTTTTGGGTAGTTATTTTTGTTATAAAATTGATATATTTTTAATAAACTTTATATAATTCAATCAAACCACACAATGATCACAAAATACAATCAAAATACAATATATAATTCAATCAAACCATACATTTATTTAATTATATCAAAATACCATATATTAATTCAAAATGAAAATTATACATTGTTCACAAAATACAATCCAAAATATAAAATAAAAGTCAACTACTAGGTATGTCAGACCCTCCGATGCCTCACATGCCTATTGTACTATGAGGCATGTTGTACCTCGGCTATTATGGGCTCTATGAATATCTTGCATATGCCCAAATTAGCACATGACTCGCTCAAGTAGATGTGGATACTTAAGTCATGACCCATAAGCCAACCATCAAAAGAAGAAGGATATGCCATCGAAGATGCGTGTCTCACGGTGATCACCGTATGGTGTGAAGTTTATAACATTTGTCATGATGTGGTCAAGATAAACTCAAAATGACTTGATCTCCAGATTCTCTCTAAACGGGATGAAGGAGAAAAACATGTTGAAAAACTTCTTCGTATTCATCCCCATATGTCCAATCAGAGAAGCGTACAAAGTGTTTGAGGATCCATGAATGAAAATGGTTCAGATGAGATATTAGTAACATCGTAGCACAAATGCTATGAAATATTAGTAATTATAAAGGTGCAAATGTATTATCATAAAGAGGGTGTTGCTTGTTGTCATTTTTTCATTCTCCCATAAACAAGTTTCACCTAACTTGAGTACATGTAAATCAAACAAGAGACCCCCTAGTTATACTCATGAATTCTATCTAAGTTAATGAAGTATCTCAGATAGAGAATATCAACATAGTATGCACTTTTGTCCACTAATATGGATGTGTCAACTAGATATAAGAGGTACGACCTTAATGCACATAGTCTATGATGTGCTACCTGTGCATCATCACCATTAGCCTCAACTACCACATCCAGGTGGTATATGTACAACCTCTCAAGAAATCCAAATCTGGCATAACATCATCTGGCCTCTTGCTGGGAATAACTGGATTTAGCTCCCAAATATTGCATCACCATCTCTAGTGTGTCTGGAGTAGTTTGGTAATCTTCCCCTAATCGGAAGATGTAGGAGGGATGACAGATCATCAAGTTTGATAGACCTCTCACCGATTGAAACATGGAATGAAGAAGTCTCTGAGTTCCATCTTTCAATGAAAGCAGATAAGACATAATTATTAATAAAAAGTATACCTAGTCCTACATGAATCTTGTAGCCCAGATATTCGCATGACATCATGAAACTATGGTTCACCAGGATGCGACAACTTTGGAATCTTCCTACCGTGGTTCATATATTTTAACGACCCACGGTACTGTAAAAAATACATTAACATGAAAAGCTTCAAATTTTAATTACACATGTTTAAAAGAATAAATACAAATTTATTTTATTTCCCCATCCCACACATGCCTAGCAACATGGTATGCATACACTTAAAGCACTTAGGTGCCTGAGGAGCCTCATAGAAAAACATCAGGAACATCAACAACAAATTATACTTTTGGGGAAGCATTTAGGTGCCTGAGGAACATCAAAAGAAGTGGCACCAATGTCTGGACGAGGGGGTCTAGCTTTTTCCCTCCAGACGGAAGGATGTTGAGCCATTCTACCATGTCTCAATATTTCTTAATTTTTAGACATTTTAAATTTAATTAACCAGTAAAATTATATCATAATCAAATAATTCAAACCCAGGGGAAAAACATGAAAAATTAGAAAAAAAATTCAAAACAACAAAATCAGAAAGTTAACTTCCCTACCATCCTAAAGCCAAAAAACGCAGAAGCATGGCATGCCAAATGCTATAACTTCTAACTTCAAAAAATCTATACACGTGCCTCACTAAACAACCTATTATCCATCCTAATGTACTATATACAACCTATTATGTGTTTAAGTTCAAACTAATGCATCACAAAACAAAAATAATAAGTAAAATGAAAAACTTACAGAATGTGAGAAGCCGGTGGTTTTTTATTAAATGAAGTGGAATAGAGGTTTATTGATGTTCTAGGCTTGACTGAAATATAGTAGAAGTAGAGAGAAAGCTTAAAAAAAGATGGAAATGTGGTTTACTCACGAGCTATGTTTTAGGTTCTGAGTAAACTTTCTAAAATGAAGAAGGAAGAGGGAAGGTTTGACACGATATATAAATCAAATAGGACATAACTTAACCTCCATTTAAAATACGGATAACAACCTCTGTAAAAAGTATGGAAATTAACCTCGTGAGGTTTTCAACTTTGTTCTGGCCTGGGTCTGAGCCTTGACTATAGTTACACTTTTTGTGCGTCTAGAGGTTAACTTTCAGATTTTAAGGGCATTATTGTTTTTTCCCTAGGGTGTGTGAGAACCACTGCTAAGAGTAATGCCCAAAACAAATTGACAAATGAACATTTTACTATCTTCACACCAATAGTCCATATACTTCCCAAATCCTCTAGATCTGCAACACTAATTTTATAATAGCTCTTTCCTAGAGTGACCATCTTACATTGACAGAAAGGATTTCACTCAGATTACTTGACTAAACAATCACTAGTTTTGATAGCTGAGTCGCCTTTAGAATGTAATATGCCATAAATTTTTATTTAAATCCCTGAATACCTCTTTTGTATTCTTCTTTAGG